TTCTAAGCTATATTAAGCGGCTTAGTTGATTAAAGCCGCTTTCAGCAGCTGAAAACCGCAATGTTTAAGCGCTTTAAAGCACTTAACTACAGTGTAAGCTTATTTAAGCCGCTTGAAAAGAGCTTACAAAGACAAAAATTTTCACATGGGTATTTATATCTCATATTATTTTTTTTCTCTCTCTAAAACTCAAAAAACAGTGAAGCTTTCATCGATTTTTGTTTTAGAAAAAATAGACAAATTACAACTTTTTATTTTTGTTTCAAGTTTATTCAAATTGAGAAATTTCAAATCTTCGTTGTATTCCGATTCAAATTTTTATTTTAGGTAATGTTAATGATTTTTGTACAAAAACATAATTAAATTCGAAAGTATTTCAATAAAAATTTCATAATGATTATATAATATTAAGATCTAGTTTGTCTTATCAATTACAACTTGATTTATATAACCATAATACGATGGCGATTAGCTTTTAGAGTGTTCTTCTAAAAAATGCATATACCATGGCAATGGAAGGGAAAAGTTAAAAAGCAAAGATTGTTTCTAAAAACTTTCACTTTTCTTTCCTTTTCTGTTAAGGTTATTCCCTCAAAAAAAGTCTGATTGAAAATAATAGCACAAAAAAAAATGTTTGTCAGTAGTTCTTTTATTTCTTTCATTCAAATGTTATCAACATTTTCGCTGTTATTTCTTATTTCTTTTTGTTAGCAGCAGATGCAACAAAAAGTATGTAAAACGTGTGTTTGAATGTCAACAGAATGAAAAAAATTCTACGCAATAGAAAGTCTATATAAAAAAGGAAGCTGATACGATATAAATAAATATAGGGACTCATTTTTCACTTCAAACAATATTGACTGGTCCGTCATTTCAGATCTGTGAAACACACTAATCATAAAAACATGGCTGAAAATAAGTCGAAACAAATATCCATTTTGTCCAAAGTTGCAAGCACTCAACAGAGACGATTAGTAGTCCAAAACTATTGTCTAATCTGGCTAGATTCCAATATTGATAAATACAGTAATGATTGTCAAAATACTTTGGAACAGCTTCGAAGCGTTGTCATTGATATTAATATCTTCACTGATGTTGATCAATGCGTCGATTTTCTTACTGATATCGATGATGATAAAGTATTCATGATTGTTTCAGGAACATTGATTGAATATATAATATCGAGTATCCATGAAATACTTTCATTGAATGCTATTTATATCTTTGGTGACAAAATAGCCATAGATAAAGAATGGATCAAGCAATGGCCAAAAATCAAGAGTGTGCACACACAAATTACATCTCTCTGTGAAGCTTTACAACAAGCTGCAAAACAATGTGATCAAAATTTAGTTTCAATCAGCTTTATTCCGACTAGTCATGGAACGATCAATCAGAACTTAGATCACTTAGAACCATCATTCATGTATACACAAATCTTTAAAGAGATTTTACTCGAAATGAATTATGATAAACAATCAATTAATGATTTCACCACCTACTGTCGCAACGGTGACTATGGGTCGTTGAGTAATATTAAGAGATTTGAGAACGAATATTGTTCAACTTCTGCCATTTGGTGGTACACCTATCCAGCATTTATTTTTTCCATGCTGAATCGAGCTCTGCGTCTTATGGAAGCTGATAGAATCATTAAGATGGGCTTCTTTATTCGTGATCTTTATTATCAAATTCAAGAACTGCATCACCTACAATTCCATAATCATCATGGAGAACCGTTAACAGTTTATCGCGGACAAGGTTTATCCATGAGAGACTTCGAGAAATTGATGAATACAAAAGATGGACTTGTATCATTCAACTGTTTTCTGTCCACAAGTGAGAATCGTGAAATTGCAGACGGATTTGTTGAAACTGTTCTAACAGATCCCAATTTGATTGGCATTATCTTCAAAATGACTATTCATCTATCTGTTTCGTCAACTCCCTTCGCCGCTATTGACGAGGTTAGTTATTTCAAAACAGAACAAGAAGTTCTTTTTTCGATGCATACCATTTTTCGAATTGTTGACATCGTTAGTATCGACAACAACAATCGACTTTATCAAGTAGAATTAAGACTAACTGATGATGAAGATCAAGAACTCCGAACACTTGCAGAATATATACNGTCAAAGTAAATCATGTCTACATGACACTTCAGTCGCCATCGTTCGACTCAGAATGATTGAAAACCTTTATGAATATACAATAACAAGGCTCTTTTCTCTAAAAAAAATCGCATTTTTGACACGTTACAGACGCTCAGTGTAGCGAGAATAACTTTCGAACGGTGAATGATAGAAAGGTCGGATTTGCGTAGATTAAAAGAGGAGACCTTGCGCTATCGAATGATCATCTTGGAGTTGAGAACTCATATGAAAAACGTTCTTGTTCTGTAACGCACAAAATCTTCAATGATAACTAACAATCTTGATCAAACGTTAACCGACTGAATATTGTGTACACTTATACCCCCGAGTATCCTCTTTCTAATGGTGAAAAGATCAGCTCGCTAACTGCATCCGTTCTGGAGATATTCCTCTCAGAGTTTTCCTCATCTACTTCTGGCGCCGACAATAGTTCTTCCATTAGTTCTATTATTAGTTTTCCTGTTTTTTAAATTTTCCTTCATTTAGATTTCTTTGAGTCTGTCGCTTCAACAAATAAAGAACAAACCCGATAAATTCGGATTAACATCTTCATCAATTCAAAATAATACAACTGATGTAGTATCAATTAAATCTCAACCTATCTACGTAAACGATACAGTTGGTGCCCAGTTCTCTTTTTTTCGAGGTTGTTAAAAATTTTCCTTTTTACATTATCTAGAGTATTATCGAATCTTATTCCGACATGGCGTTAAATGAATCGTACGTTGACCCAGTCGTAAAGTATTCTGATAGTAATGTAGCAAACCCATCGAAACATTCTCAATCGACGAATATTGTACCTGATTATACGTTTCACTTAAAGAATGATCTTCAAATAACAACACCGAAATGTCGCAGACTATCATCAGTATTCATGTAACTCGTTTGAGTATATTTCATAACATTTTATGCATTCATTTCTTTATAGGAATCTCCTGAAGAGTACTCTATATTTCAATCAGCATGTGTGTTTTCTACGCCAAAGCTAGATGGAATGAAACATAATCTTACATCATTGAATTTTGTAACTTTTTCTTATATCTTGACATATATGATCTGAACCTTTTTTCTAGAAAATGCCATGACTGACAATATCATTAACACCACGTCCTACTGCTCATTTTCGAAAATACTTTGGCAAAAAAAAATTAGAAGCCAACCTTGTTACGGCACATAGGTTATATTTGCCATAAGAAATATGTTATATATATTATCCATATATGTTCGTTCTCTTTCTTTTGTTGTATTCTTATATGGACAACTATATCTATCTTTTCTTCCGTTCTGTTAGATATTTCATTTAGTGTTGTTATTGATTGAATATATATAACTAATAAAAACACTAGATTAACATCTTATAAATATCCATTTACACATCAACGTGAAAATAGGACGTAACAAACCTAATCTTAATTAAGTTTTTATATTCTTTTTCCTATATTTCTCGTTTGTTGCTCTGTTGTTTTATTCCATGGCGTTATTTGTCTTAAATTCCATGATGAAGGGAAATTTCTTCACGAACTTGGATAATTTATTCTTGTTTGTTTTTCTAAAGTTTGTATAAGCCTCTGTATAGTTCATGAACTACGTTTTTTTTCTACAATGTACCTCATTCCTTTTGTCAATCTCTTCATTTATTTAATTGTTTTTTATAGCTAGTGAAACTCTTGACTGGTTTAAAATTTTTCTATTAAATAAATTATTTCAATAGCAAAGCATTTATTATCTTAGAAACTGATTCGTAGTCTACATTTTCAAAATAAAAATATTATTACGAAGAGAAAACGTGCATGTCATCTTAGAAATTCATTCATATATCAAAGAGATATTTTCTGAAAAGTAAATATTCTTTTTATGTGGGTTCAGGTTTATCTAAATGAC